ACATATCTTCTGTGAGGACATTTGGTGTTTCTCCTGTTTTGGACAACATATCTTCTGTGAGGACATTTGGTGTTTCTCCTGACAAACATATCTTCTGTGAGGACATTTGGTGTTTCTCCTGTTTTGGACCTCTTCTTGACAACATATCTTCTGTGAGGACATTTGGTGTTTCTCCTGTTGTGGACCTCTTCTTGACAACATATCTTCTGTGAGGACATTTGGTTTTCTCCTGTTGTGGACCTCTTCTTGACAACATATCTTCTGTGAGGACATTTGGTGTTTCTCCTGTTGTGGACAATCTCTTCTTGACAACATATCTTCTGTGAGGACATTTGGTGTTTCTCCTGTTGTGGACCTCTTCTTGACAACATAACATCTTCTGTGAGGACATTTGGTGTTTCTCCTGTTTTGGACCTCTTCTTGACAACATATCTTCTGTGAGGACATTTGGTGTTTCTCCTGTTTTGGACCTCTTCTTGACAACATATCTTCTGTGAGGACATTTGGTGTTTCTCCTGTTGTGGACCTCTTCTTGACAACATATCTTCTGTGAGGACATTTGGTGTTTCTCCTGTTGTGGACCTCTTCTCTTCTTGACAACATATCTTCTGTGAGGACATTTGGTGTTTCTCCTGTTGTGGACCTCTTCTTGACAACATATCTTCTGTGAGGACATTTGGTGTTTCTCCTGTTGTGGACCTCTTCTTGACAACATATCTTCTGTGAGGACATTTGGTGTTTCTCCTGTTGTGGACCTCTTCTTGACAACATATCTTCTGTGAGGACATTTGGTGTTTCTCTTCCTCTTCTTGACAACATATCTTCTGTGAGGACATTTGGTGTTTCTCCTGTTGTGGACCTCTTCTTGACAACATATCTTCTGTGAGGACATTTGGTGTTTCTCCTGTTGTGGACCTCTTCTTGACAACATATCTTCTGTGAGGACATTTGGTGTTTCTCCTGTTGTGGACCTCTTCTTGACAACATATCTTCTGTGAGGACATTTGGTGTTTCTCCTGTTTTGGACATATCTTCTGTGAGGACATTTGGTGTTTCTCCTGTTTTGGACCTCTTCTTGACAACATATCTTCTGTGAGGACATTTGGTGTTTCTCCTGTTTTGGAACATATCTTCTGTGAGGACATTTGACAACATATCTTCTGTGAGGACATTTGGTGTTTCTCCTGTTGTGGACCTCTTCTTGACAACATATCTTCTGTGAGGACATTTGGTGTTTCTCCTGTTGTGGACCTCTTCTTGACAACATATCTTCTGTGAGGACATTTGGTGTTTCTCCTGTTGTGGACCTCTTCTTGACAACATATCTTCTGTGAGGACATTTGGTGTTTCTCCTGTTCTCTTCTTGACAACATATCTTCTGTGAGGACATTTGGTGTTTCTCCTGTTGTGGACCTCTTCTTGACAACATATCTTCTGTGAGGACATTTGGTGTTTCTCCTGTTGTGGACCTCTTCTTGACAACATATCTTCTGTGAGGACATTTGGTGTTTCTCCTGTTGTGGACCTCTTCTTGACAACATATCTTCTGTGAGGACATTTGGTGTTTCTCCTGTTGTGGACCTCTTCTTGACAACATATCTTCTGTGAGGACATTTGGTGTTTCTCCTGTTGTGGATTGAGAGAATGCCTGATCTTATTCTTATTCATGTTTTCAGCAGTTTTCATTCTGTTCTTATTGTGTCAAAGTTTCATTGAATTTATGTTTGAATTGGGGTTCTTATGACATGGTGGTGTGCTATTCTAATGGTGACCTATCAAAAATTGCCCTGCATCCATTGTTCATCTGACAACATGTTTTGTTGTCGCTATTTCCTGACAAGTACTGCAAAAATGTTTCTTTAAACTTCATATTTAGGTTTCCCTTGGTCCCAAGTTGTGCCCTTTGAATTTTTATATTGATTTGGAAAAGCGTTTTACAGGAGGCTATATTGGATATTGACAGTTGATTGTTATTACTACTACTTGAAAAGAATTGGAAGGATATATTTCAGACTAAATATGTATATTACCAAAGGTCTCTAGTTGTGCCAGGTAGATTTTGAGTTTAATCAGGAAGACGCCAAGAGGCAGCCATCGTGGATATTAAGTGAAAGTTTGCTATCCCTATTCTCTTAAGAAGTACTGGATGGATTTGTCTCAAATTTTGTATATGGTTTCCCTTTGGTCCCAAGTTGTGCCTGTTTGATTTTGGTTTAGAGATTTCCGCCCACAGTTTTCAACTGATCTTTTTCAAATTTGTTTAATCACAATGACACGAAGCTATGTTTTCCTGAATGGCAGTTGAATTTGACTGTTTTTGGAAGAGTTACTGCCCCTTGTTTTCATAATCTTACTCTTGCCTGAAGATCATCCCCAGTTTTCAACCAAGTTCTTTCAAACTTGGTAGGTTTAAATCATCATGACATAAAGTGATGATTTCCTACACAGCAGTTTCATACAACATTTTTTAAGGTGTTATTGCCCTTTATTTCTTTGGCATATAAATTTTGTATGGAAATCTCCTTCCTCTGATTTTCACTAATATCTCTGAAATTAGATGACATAATGAAATTGTGTTCATATGAACAACATTTTCATTCAACAATATTTGAAAAAGTCATTGTCCTTTGTTCTTTTAAACATTATAATCTTGTCCAGATTTCTTTCATTTTCCAACCATCTCTTTAAAACTTGGTATGATCTGATTTATCATTAAAATATATAAACACTGAGTCATCTTTTAACATTTGAATTATTGGTGCCATTTCCATATTTGTATTCATTTTGATTCAACAAATCCTGAATGTTTATGTTTATGTTGATGGAGGTTCATGTTGATCTGCCCCGAAGTACTCTTATTCACAAAGTTTCATGGTAGGTTCCCTTTGATCCTATCTGTTCACTTCTGATATCGAGACTGGTCAGAATAAGAAAATAGATTATGGTTATTTCTTCAAGAGGAATTATATAGAGCATTAACAGTAGAAGAAAATAAGGGATAAAATCCATACACCAAGGGTGTATAATTAACTGGGTTGATTTGAAATAAAAGATCATCGCTTAAGCTTTAGATGTTGCCAAGATACAATCAACAATGTGCTTTCCAAAACGGATATGAAGATTTTCGCAGCTGAAAAATCAACCACTTCAAATTCTGAACTGTATCACAAGCTGTTTTCTGTCAAAATCTAATGACAGGGGTATTTTGTTGTTTGTAAGAAGTTAAAGGATTCCTTTCATTAGTAAAACTGATGATTATCATTATTATGTTTAATCATCATGTGACCAGTTTCTAAGGAAGTCAAGAATATGTTTTATACCCCTCTTACTACCCAGCCCATATATCCCCTGGATCCTGATCACCGTACACATGCATCATGTACTCAGTGCACTCAATTGTTTGGGGTCCCTCTTTTTTGGGGGAATAAGATAATTGAAATTTTGTAAGTGTACTACAGATGCTAGACACACTTATCAGGATGTCTGACCCCAGATTCACACCTACTTTTGATAAAGAAAATCACTAATATTGTGCGTTTGTGTACAATGCTAACATTCCGACATCACAACACTACAGTAAAACTTTACAATCTTTTATTGTTTCTCTTCACCATCTGTAAACTGAACCCGAAATAACCAACTTTTAACCTTGTTCACATATATGAAATGATACTGAACTTTGTCAGTCTAATGCTTATTTTGATCTTTAGATTAATTTTAATAGTTTTAAATGAATTAATTGCACAAAAAATTTTCATGGGTTATGACAAGCACAACCTTTATACCATAAACATCTCTGGTCCCATATATATTCACATTTTTCTTCTCCTTAGTTAGATGAGACATGGATTGAAACATCACACTGAGGATAAATATTTCATAATGTTTCTTCACATCTTTTTGGCCCCTGTAATATATATCAAAAACCAAAATTATAAAGTTACATTTTTTACTTGTATCTTATGGCGATTCATTATAGTAAATAAACAATCAAGCATTAAGTAATGAAATATTTTGTTATATAGAAAGTTCTTTGATAAAGTGAACATCATTTATTATGATCATTTACTGTTATTGTATTTATAAAAACTACATACAAGAGGTTTCCCCCAAATATTTTTATAACCGGTATGTCAACTGGAGGGAACAAAATTGATGGCAGAAGTCTGGCAAAAATGAATAGTTATTCATAAATTAAGCAGATTATATATAATATGCACGAAATAAGTATGAATTGTTTAAATTTCAGCTTTCCCCTTAAGTCAGGGACGTATATGAACGTATACATGTCCATGACAAAAATTAATATGAAACTGACAGCTGTCCATATCACACGATCTTAATTGCAAAATTGTAAACAAGAGTAAGCTAACTGGTTTGTGTGGATTATAGCTCGTCAAACAAGTTTTTATATACTCAAAGTAAACCCAATCATAAATTGGCAGGTTGGTGCCAAAGCCCTGCAGGTCGTCTGTCATCACTTATCAATTAATTGAACAGTCTTCTGTAATGAATGGCGAGGAGACTTAACAACACACGACAGTCCGTGGGAATTCATGTAATTACCCCCGCGGTGAGCCCCTGCCTGAATCACGTCGAGGCAACGATTTACATTTGTGGTTGTACTGCTCCAGACTATTTTGCAACATTCTAAGCACGGACTCCTGAAAATACGTTGCTATCTCCATCAAGAAGAGTTCAAGGTAATACACATTTAATATAACGGTTTCACAATAAACAGAAAATGACGAAATTGCCTTACATGTATCAACACATATTCACTTGCACGGGCACCTGCCAGTAGCTAGTTAATTGACCTTCCATATATGGCACATTGTATTTAGTGTTGTCATAGAAAAGCCAATCAGCGCCGACCGATTCAAAATCCAGGGGTCGCCGCCATCCAATCAGATTTAACTATTTTGAATGTATTACATTTCTTTGTTATTTGGGTTGAGCAACCGAAATTTTACTACGGTATAGTACTACAGGTAAAGGGGCTCGTGTATTCGGAACTTCCTGGATAATTTTGTCGTTGCAATACATTTCGAAAATTGTCGTTTGGATAATTGACAGTATTGGAATCTTGGTAAGTTGTATTTGTTTATTGATTTGTCGAGTATTAATTTGCAATCGATCGACGATAAATGGAGAAAATTCTGTTGATCTCCCTTTTCGGTCGTCCATTGATATCTCGTGTTCTACTTATGTCTGTGCACGATGTTCGTGCAACGATTTGCAAAGTGGGCAGGTCAAAGCTGTTTCGTACTAATGTTACACATAAGTTTTAGTGATTGCTAGGACACCTAAGATATATACATGTACATTGTTCAACATTGTTGTCTTTTTTTATGAAATCGAATTCGAAATCAGCTGAAAGATATGTGTTGGTTTCGATTATTCAAAGCGATTTGCTTCGTCGTACCCCGGAAGGTATCTATGTTTCGATAGTTTTGTATGTAAATATGCAGATATATTAATACGAAGGCGAATATGCGTGGATATTGTTTGTTTACATATGTGCTGTGTTTCGTTTGATTGCAGATCTTTTGAGAACATTTCAGAAATTCGTATAACATTTACAGATATCTAATCACAATATCTATTTAAGCCGTTCTATATGATAATCTAATACTTTCATGTTACTGATTCGAATATTGTCCATACAATACAACGCTGATTTTATTTATGAAATGTTCAGCCCTGTTTACATTAGGCATTTGCATTCTGAATTAAATTGCTTTACATTCTAAACCGGAAATGTACTTTTTTTTATATCTGGCTTGTACTTTGAAAATTGTCTTTGAGAAAACAGGATTTTTTTAATATAGAAATTGCTGGAGTTTGCGTTGTATATTTATCTGTAAGTTATTCACTTTTGTTCATTTCAAAACATTCAGTTAAGGTGAAGAATAAAGTAAAATGGTGATACAAGGAAATAATTCAAATGGAAGTCCTGTTCAGGTATGCTTCCATTTTTTGAAGGTCACATAGTAAAATAAATGTTCCTATAAATAGATGGTTGTTATATTAAATGTTTTATGTTTCAGCTCCAATGAGGAATTCTCCGTAATGTTAAGCATGGCATTTTGTAACACATCCGACATGGATTTTCTAGACACAATTCCCATGTCCATGGATTCCTCATCATATGACCTTCAAAATGAAGTGGACAAAATTTTGCAAGGCTCTGACAAATTCCAGGACTACAGTATACTAAACAACGACAGCAATCATGGAAATATTGATTTCGAAACCAACAACCAATCTGTTGATGATTGGATCCAGAATATACAATGCCAATGGAATGATGTTGATGTTGTCAAACTACAGAACAGTTTATTGGACTCATCATTTGAGGTAGAAAATAACAATCCAAACTTATTAGTTAACCCACAAACTGGACTACCAGTTAACCATTTCTCACCAAGAAAACAAATGTCCAGTTCAACAACAGTGAAATCAGAAAATGGACAGAATTCATTGCTATCTGACAGCAGCCAGTTTACACTACAAACTGATCATAACTTGAACTGTGCAACTCGTGAGTCTACGTCATTGTCTTCAGGTCAGACAAGATTTTCAAATGTAAATAACAATTCACATGTTCAGACAGTGAAAGCTGTGTTGAGTTCTCCGTCCCACAACTCGCCAGTCTTGGTCAACCATCTTCAACAGGGATTAAGTAGTCGACAAGTAACAGTGACACAAAATTCAGTCAAAAAGTCTGTGACCGTCTTAAAATCCGACAATTCGGATCGTGCATTTCCCAAACCTGTTTATTCTTACAGTTGTCTCATTGCAATGGCCCTCAAGAACAGTAAAAATGGAAGTCTTCCTGTTAGTGAAATCTACACCTTCATGACGTAAGTTGCTGCATTGTCTAGAAATTCCAAGTCCTATTTACTGTGGCTCTTTATATACCTATGTAAATCCATTTTAATAACATAATTCTTGTATCTAGATAGAGTGCACTGTTTCTTTATTTCCTTCTGAGATTTTGCAAAGTTTAGTGAAATATTATTACAAAAATTCTTGTGAAATACTTGGACGGAAAGTCTTGTAAAATATTGGGATGGAAAGTTTTGTAAATATTGTGACAGAAAATTTAATCATATATTCAGTTGAAATATATTTTTCAAGTTGATATTATAAAGATAACTACAAAATTCAAATGTATGAAGTTACAACAACAATGATTGGAATGAAATCCTTTATAAAATTAGGTTTATTTATGAAATAAAGTATAAAAGATAAAGTATTGATTTCTGATTTCCAATTACCTGCCAGAATGTCGATTTTCAGTCCCATTAGTTTTTACTGTAAAATGATTATATGGGGAAAAAAACAAATCATCATTACATTGACATAATTGGTCTCCTTGTTGAAATAATGAACCTTTCTTTGTCAGTGAAACAATTACGACTATCAGAATAATTTATGATCTAGAATCACTGAACATTGATGCTATCTTTACCTGTAATTTTGTTAATTTACAGAGAACATTTTCCCTACTTCAAGACAGCACCAGACGGTTGGAAGGTAAGATATATTTATTTACCAGTATTTTAGAGAGCAGTAAATCACCCTGATTAATTTATGATTAAGTATAAGATAAAGATATCTTAATGTGCATGAAGGCTGTTTGAAATATAGGTCCAGATTGACATTGGGTGACAGGTGGCAGAGACCTGTCATTTAGGCCTTCAAAGAATCTCATTGGTTAAGAGTGTGTCACATGATGATACCGGTATGCCAATTTGATTACAGGTGTTCACCTGACTTTTAAAGTCCATTCCAGAAAAGATGGTGCGATCTTTTCTAAGATAAATCTCTATATATTCTGTTTCCATGTAATGTTATTGTTGTGCACTGGAGCATTGAATGAACATATTGCTTTGACTTAATAGAATGTCGAGAAGTTATTGAATCTCCAGCAGGTAATAACAAGCTAAGGGAAGGTTATGTACTCCGGCTATGTACACAAGATCTTATGATTCATTTATCTGCAAAAAGACTAATAATAGAATTGGGAAATTTCACACGCTCTTATAGGGAAAAATACTGGTATACACAGTTAAAATTGAGATGTTTGATCATTGGTCAAAGGAAATAGATATATACAAATGAAATATATATTGAATTATTCTGATATTGTAGATGTTTCTCTTCCTGTCATTGTTCAATAAAACATTGTTGTTTTATGTTAAATTTATATTTGATTTCTTGATTAGTTGATTACAAATTTAAAATTCTATCCATTGTGATTAAATGGCGTTGGACAAAATAAGAAAAGACTACAAGTTTGTTTTTTATACTTCCAGAATTCTGTCAGACACAATTTGTCCCTTAATAAGTGCTTTGCTAAAGTGGAAACACCCAAAGTGACTGGAAACAACAGTAAAAAGGGCTGTTTATGGGCCCTTAACCCAGATAAGGTTGAAAAAATGGAAGATGAAATTGCAAAACACAGAAAGAAAGATTTGGATGCTATAAGAAGCAGTATGGCCATGCCAGGTAAATGGTTTCCTTTTCATAATATGATCACCAAATATAAAATTGATTTTAGAAAATATTTCAAGTTTGGTGTATGTGTTTTGATACCTAACACCAGGTTTATGTTGTTTGTATATACAAGACTTCTTGAAATAACATTGTCTTCTCTTCAAATACAAAGAAAATAATCTAAAATATATTCAAAGTTTTCTCATTTTTAACAGTAAATTCTACTGAAATTTTGACCAATCAGGAGCATCTGCAGATGTAATATTCTATAAGACCTAAGTGAGGTCACAGCTATATTTAGAATATGAGCTCATTTTTGTTCCTTTACAAGATCTGAACTCAAAAGCAGGAAGTCTTTAAAGAATATTGAATCAATATGCAAGTTTAAACAAATTGTGTTAAATTTGTGTATTTGAACTTTGCACTTACCATGGAATGCCCACTTAAAATTTTTCTTTAATCTTCTAAGTATGTCTTCACAGTTTGAGTGTATATCTTATGTCAAAAGGTTTTTGCTTTATTAGAACCAGTCTTGTACATATTATCTGAAGCAAGATCTGACTATACATGGTGTCCTTCAAATGACATTGAATAAGGCTTATAACGTCATTCTCATTCAACTTATGCACAGATATAAAGTTCAACAATTTGAAAGTAGATTTACATAGGGCATGCTCCTGCATATAAGTCCTCATTACTGCGACCCCTTCTCCCTAGTCAGAAGATGTCAGTGATATGTATGTTTCGTAGGGCTGGGTATTAATTCATTATTATAAGAATAACTTACAAGTGTCCTTGCATCGTAATAAGTATTCATCAAATCGCTCCATGTTCCAGTGAAAATTTTCTATGTTGCTAAAATTGCCAATTATATTTGGACAAATTACAGTGTAGCAGTATTAGCTGTATAGAAAAGTCAAGTGTGGAAAAAAATAAACATGACATACTTCAATGGACACAGATAAAATGTGTAGGGTAATTAAGGTAATATTAAGAAAACCAGCTCAGGAGAGCTCAGAGCATGAAATTTTCCCAACACATCATGTTAAATCATGTCTCTCCTTCAGATATCATTGTATTTCAAAGTGGTTATTTTCAAAGTTACTAGATATAAATTAAATTTAGTCCAAGCTCGAAAAATAAATATCTTACTATCCGTACAAGTATCTGTGTGCTCCTACCAATGGTTATTGACAGATCAGACTTAAAAAGAAAGTATTTCTTTATCATAGTGATTCTTATTCATGAAAATAACAAATACTGGAACAAAAACATCAATTTACTAAAAAAAATCATGAATGAAATACCCAAACTCCTTGTATAGCTGAGGGCTATTTTTTTTTTTAACAAAGGTAGGAATGTATTTCTACCCCTGTGGCACAGTGTAGTGGTCATCTGTTCCATATCAGTATAATCTACACATGTCCAGTAGGCTGATATTATATAATGGTCATTAGTAGCCAGATAAAGACATCAAAGGGCTGGGGCTCACTGGGAACTAACACTTCATGAATTATCTGCCCTTTGAAGAGTTCTTTTCTTGACAATATAATGCTAATCAAACTAGCAAGACCACAACAAAGGGAGAAAGGAATATATAGAGGTAAAAACCAATACCATTGTCTGACCAGGCATGGATAGTGTGCTACCTTAGTTCAGGTGGAGAGAACAAAGAGATACCTCATAAATTATTGATGGAAGTGAACCCATAGCAATATTCTGTACTACAGGTCTGGAAGTACACAATTATAATAGATTTACATATCTATCTGTATTAGGGGGAATAAGATATCTAATTTGACTTATAATTAAAAGTAATGAAATAATACCTGTCAGACTAACATGAGCATTTATTTTATTCCCAAGTAATGCTAATTTGTTTTTTTTTTGCTTGAAGTAATTAGAGTGGCACTGTAAGATGAGTGTTAATATGATTTTTCTTCTTCAGACATAATGTGCATTTTTGTTTGTACACTTAAAAACTTGCCTTGGTTCATACTGATAAGGACAGGGTTATTAGTCAGATTAGGGAGCCCTCTTTGTCTACATATATAATTATATCTCGAGAAATCATGCCGGGAAGTTCTTTGTTTGCAGTGGAGAAATTGGGGTAGTTCCCTCACTGGGATTCCTTTGTTTACACGAGAAGTGGGCGGAGCCTGTTGTAGATCAGTAGACTTGAGGGTGGAGCTTTGACTCTTTTGTTTATAATGATCACAATATTACAATGGGCCTCACTGAATGTATGGGAACACCTGACCCCCTTTGTTTACAATCAAAGACATGGGGTGTTACCTGTGTTAATTTAGGTTAGGATGTCTAGCTTGGGACTATATCAACACCTTTTGATTAGCTTAAAAAGTGTTTGTTTAACAAGCCAAGCCTAGATAAGCCTAAAGCCTATTATATAAAATTTTACTATAAAGACAGATCTGGACCAATGACTTTGACCGTTCATGTTGTCCTAGTTTCTTAAAGCTGCATTGCTTTCTTTCTCATTACTGTTAAACATAGGAAATTGCTAAATGCTATATTACTGAACTTTTATATTAAAATGTTTTTTAGATATCTTCATACATAAGATAAACAATGATAATGTTGATAATAGAAGTGAATCATATAACATTAATGTTTCAATAACATAGGGTTAACTTCTGTATCTTTACTTATTGAACTATAATAGGAAGTCCATTTCAAACTTTAAAAAAAAGATATTGCTTTCATTTAACTACATCTAATCTAATTATATATTTTCAGTAAAATCAGTGTTTCACTTATCAAAATAGATAGATAGATAATATTATATTTGTGTTAAACAAATGCAAAAAAAAAAAAAAAATATGCTGAAAACTTTCAGTCCACAAATAAATATTCTACCAGATTATTTGTGATAAACATTAATTTACAAGCTCATGGAAATAAAAAAAAATTTAAATACCCATAACATGTTGGTGCTCATCATAAAAAATTAAAATCTGAAAGAATACTTATTAATATTCATTATATTAATACATGTTAAAATTCAAAATGCTTAGTTTTCTTACTTTTTTATATTAAGATGTGTTATCTAAGGTAGTTATTATAAATATATATTTATATTTTGGAAAAAAACAATTAGATGTTTTATATATAGGTATTAATTTATGGGTACAGTAATTGTAATTTGAAGAGATGCAATTGCTATCCCCTAATGGGCCTCCTCCATGTTTTTCCTGGTATTACACCACCCGATTATAATTACCAGTATTTGTGTTGACCACACCCCCATGGCTGTGACAGGTGTGTCACAGGTAGATTTACATGTATTTACACCTGACAGGTGACCACTGTCACTCACCTGTATGTCCAGTCTGACATGATCCTACTGGTTAGCTTCAGGTGATGAAGTGTCACATTTACTGACATCCATCACACATAAATATTCAAAATATTTACAGGTATCATTGTATACATGTATACAAATTCAGGTGTATTGTCTCAACTGCTGAACAAATATTATTTGTACAATATATAGGATTATTCTATACAAAAACCATCAACATAATTTTGAATGTTAAAGATATTGAAATATCATTTCATGGTAATTATATAAACCTGTCACAGGAATTATGTCTATTTTGTAATTCTCTTTAAATACTTAATATCAGGACATTCATAAGTTCCTAACTGTTTGCTTTAGCTATTTCCAAAATGTTGAAGAATCATGTTTGGTTGTCATAAAAAGATCTAGTTGCACATCAGAAATAGAAGTAGAATCATATCAACAGACACATACAGTTGTCACATTTTGTTTAAGAATATTAAATTAGACAATAAGATAATTGAAAGGGACATAATGTATAGCATTATACATTGTCATTTGTCAGAGTAATCTCCCCTAGCCAAAAAAAATCAACAAGAAGGTGCTTCAATGCCATAATTTAGATATAAAATAAAGTTTACGCAGCAAAAATACAAAGAGCTGCCAATAATTATTAGAATGATTTGATGTTTAAAAGTTTTGTATTTAATTTTTCCTTATTTTTTTAATACAAATACCCAGCTAAGTAATATTTTCATTAATACGGTCACTTATTTAAGATTTTAGAAATACTTCCACTTTCCGTGACTTACCTGTGTAATTCTTAAAATTAAATTGTTTCCTTATTTAGCTCTTCTCTTTTCCTGTTCCTCAGGAATCAACAGGTATACACACGTTACCTTAATAGGAGATAAAATTGTATGAGAAGTTTGTAAACATGTACTGTACCCCTTATTCTATCCAAGGTGTTAAAATACTAATGCTATTGGGGAAGGGAGGGAGAGTGGGGGGGTGGGGGTGGGGGGGGTGGGGGTGGAGAGTTTTAACGTTTTTTTTCAATCAGGAAAACCAAAATAAACAAAATCCAAATAAATATTTACTTTTGTATTGTGTATTTTCCAGTTCTTTAAGTGTTATAAAGTTTGGTTTATTTTGTGATTGTAGAAAAATTGGAGCTAATTGAGGCCGGAAAAGCAGGACCAGTTGGAAGTCGCTCTGAGGGAGAGAGGGTCTTAACCCTACCTGTCACCACGTCGTCCCCCGCAACAACTGCCCGTGTGGTGAAGATATCTACCCCAGTAGACTCGTCCATTAAACAAGAGGACTACCTCCATAGTATAGTGCTGGATGGGAGTTTGTCATTGGACAACCCTCTCCCAGATCTAACATTACAGGTATATGATTAGTTCTACCCATTTTTACTTGACTATGACAAGAAATGATTTCGCATAATTTTCTCTCTCTCCAAGAGGGATAATTAGCTGTCGTTATTTTACTGGTGAGTTATTGACTATAGATCTAGACCTTGAAAACATTTCTTTACTGAAAATTTTATTTAATGTGTAAACTTTTCCTTTACAGAATGGTATATGGGACGATCTGTCAACAGATATGGAATTACCACTGACCACGTCCTCAACCCTCAATGCCTCGCCTCTCACCATACAGGCATCACCACTCACCATCCAGTCTGTGGTTTCTTTAGGTAAGACAGGCCACTGTCACACCTATTACAACTAGTGGTTTCCTTAGGTAAGACAGGCCACAGTCATGTCCATTACAACCCTAAGTTTCCTTAACCAGGCAGGCCACAGTCACACCATTACGACCTGTGGTTTCCATAGACAAGACAGGCCACAGTCACACCCATTACAACCCATAGTTTCCTTAACCAGGCAGGCCACAGTCACACCATTACGACCTGTGGTTTCCATAGACAAGACAGGTTACTGTCGCGCCCATTTCAACCCATAGTTTCCTTAGATAAGACCGGCCACTGTCGCGCCCATTACAACCCATAGTTTCCTTAACCAGGCAGGCCACAGTCACACCATTACGACCTGTGGTTTCCATAGACAAGACAGGCTACTGTCGCGCCCATTACAACCCATAGTTTCCTTAACCAGGCAGGCCACAGTCACACCATTACGACCTGTGGTTTCCATAGACAAGACAGGCCACAGTTACACCCATTACAACCCATAGTTTCCTTAGATAAGACAGGCCACAGTCACACCATTACGACCTGTGGTTTCCATAGACAAGACAGGCTACTGTCGCGCCCATTACAACCCATAGTTTCCTTAGATAAGACAGGCCACTGTGTTTTCCTTTGGTAAGATGAGCAACAATCATGTGACTCTATCATGACCTGTGTTTTCCCTTAGTAAGCCAGGTTGCTGGTTCGTTGAAAGGCCAAAAGGCCATAATAATTGATATGAAACCTGTTAAATGAAGGTAAGTTAGACAAAAGTCACCCCTATTAAAATCTGTGGTTTTCCTGAGATAAGACAGGCCACAGTCATGTGACTCCATGATGGCCTATGGTTTCCTGAATCTGGCCTTTACAGCATATGGTTTCTCATGAAATAAGACTTAAATGTGTATTCACAATTAAGAATTGTTTCTTTTTTAACTTAAGATTTCAATCTGTCAGTCTTGGTATTTGTAGTTTCCTATTAAAATAAGACTGGATGTGTTCTGGTGCAATCTTAAATTTGATAAGTTTTCTGATTAAATTGATCTGACTTTAAAGTCATGTCATCATAGTTTTGCAGATGAAGATTCTAATTGTTTATACTTTTTTTTTCAGCTGGAGTTTCTGGAGCCTTCCAAGGTCAATTTACATGCTCATCCAGTCCCATGTTAACCCTTACCCAGAATGCAACAGTATCTCCTGCATGTCGCACACCGTCCAAGATCGTCGAAGCTCAGATCTAGTCAGGGAAAGAAATGACCTTAGTTGTCTGAAACACTGCCAAGGTCATCTGATGTTGGTCAATTCCATGGAGAGAGGAGTAATTTTTCTTAAATCATGTGTGGGATTGACCAAGGTCACATGGGGAGGGATCATTGACCAAGGTCACATGGGGAGGGATCATTGTTGAAATAACATTCCATTTTATATCATTATGGGGTTCTATTTTGTCTGAGATCCACAAACTACGGATTATAAATAACATCCATTCATAAAGATTTTCCTTCAATTTTGTCGAGTACACTTTATTAAGCAATATTTATACCTATTTTATCAATGTAAGTTTATCTTCTAAGCAGAGAATCTATGTAAACCAAATATTTACCACTACAGTACAATAGAAACATATTCTTATTCATTTTTGGCTGGAAAAGGGGAGTGGTAATTTCATTGAGTAAAGAGGGAAAAAAATGAAAATTGAGATAATTTTTAGAGTTTGATAAACAATATTCCTGCTGGAGAATTTTTCTCAGATTTATTGAAAATATAAATGGCATATTTAATGATTTGTTGCTCATTCCAAATAGTAAGACAGAATTATTTTAATCAATCTTAAATGTGATTATTTTGGTGTATTTTAACCTTATTGTGCAAATTTGAACAAAAATTGTACAAAGGTTATTATTTCATTTTCCACTGAAAGAGCATGTTTCCTATTGATGCTATTAAACAGTAAATATGTTGATCTCATTGATATTCATTCAGACTTCTTCTGGACTGTCAGTCATACATGATTACTGACTGATTTTATAATTGATGTTAATGTTCCTGTTGACATATATAAAATTTATTTATGATACTAAGACTTGTAAATAGCTAGAAGTTTGATCTCGTAGTCACCATGGTTATTAGAATCAGGTGAAAATAACACAAAAAAAAGAATGGTTATGCAAAAATTGTTTTGAAATTTTTCCCACTATAGAAGATATTTTCCCCCTCTGTATGATTGTCTATATCCTTGATACAAAATGTACCTTGCTAAAGGTTCCCAAAAACTTGTACTGCTATTTTTTTTTAAACTTTAAATAAAATTGATACATCATTAGATAAACTGTCAAAGTATTTCCTGCATATGAAAGAAATTTAATTGTCTTTGCAAACTAATTTGACGTTATATACTTTTTATGACGACATAATTTTTAGTAATTTGTTTTCTGGTAAGCTGTTCTCGCTTTTTTCCTTCTATCTTACGTCATCCATATTGGTGCATTTTGTTCTGTGTTTGACATCGCTGTTGTTTGTTTATTGTATAATTGTATTTGGGTTGAAATGTGTAAAAAGACAAGAAAATTCTCCTGATCTTAGAAAACATAAAGTCCTGTCTGAGGATGTCCAGAATGTTTAGAATAATTCCTTGGCTAGGGGATCAGATTTTTCTATTTGATTATAAAGTTTCTGAAGATATTTTAGAAGTATTCTAAAGAAGAAATAGACTAGTACTGTAGAATGTTGTGTGGATTTTTTAAGAGGAGCTTTTACTACTATATTATGTACCAAAGTTTGATACAGTCAATTTATGCTAATACCATGCTGTGTTCACAACTCAGAATTTTTATACTTATTAGTGTGCATGTACTTTAAAATCATATGTGTGAATGTGCTCACAGGACAGATTTTGAAGACAAATGTTCTAAACACCCTTTTGCATAATATTAAGTATTGAAACATTTTTGGGGGGAATATCGAAAAATGCCTTTTAATGTTTAAAGTTTAAAAGTCAATCATCCGTGCTACCAATCCGGAATGATGTTTGCATTTGAGACAGAGCTTTGATAATTTATTGACTTAATTTCCAAATTTTGTACACAAGTACCATTCAGGATGACAGAATGAACGATGTCCTGGAATGACAAAGTTTCGTGCGGTTTTCATCAAGGAATTTCTAGAGAGTGGGGCCTGTTTCTATCATTGGTTGGACCTGATCATGAGTGGTTCTTGTGAAATAAGAATGGCTTGCTTCTTACTTCTTTTTTTTTTCTTTAAATAAAAACTTGTGCCATGTTTGATTATGCTACAAGGTCAGGCAGGTATCTGAATCATTTATTAGAATAAAAAATGTATAGTTTAAAACTTAATTAAACTGGTGGGGAAAACTTGGTCAGTGGATCTAAATGGATATTTATACAGAGTATTTTCAAAGAATCTTTAGCGACCATCATATAGACTACATATATAGTTGTTTAATGGTGAACGTAATACAGTAAATAATGGTGAACTGTTATATATTAACAAGTCATTTAAATGCAGAGATGATATAAAAGATTAATATAATACTGTAATTACTGATCAGTGTTCAAGACATGAAATGTGCATTGAAATCTGTACATTTAGAGTTCTGTTGATGGATGTTTTCTGTGCATGCTAAGTGACTGTGAACTATGATTTTAAGTGATCCCATATTGTGATGCCTTACATGAAATAATTCCAGATGAATTATTATCCCTTTAAATGTACAAATTAAGATGTTGGTATCTGTATATGTATATATGTCTGTGTTAATTTTTACATTTATATATATAAATGTATATATGTACAGTTGATTAAGGCAGCAATATACTGTAATTTATTAAATTTAAAAGAATTGTGCTATATATAGAATTACAAAGAGTTTATTCTCGCCATACATATAATTCCGTTATAAGGAGTTAACTCCCTTTTCATGGTTGTCATTCTAAATGGGGCACTCGGGTGTTTATGGCAGTCAAAGGTTATTCATGAACTTTAATAGCATAGATGAACGTCTGATGAGGTCAAAGCAAATCTGTTGTGTTTTAATATTTTGATTCATTTATTCAAATAAGGAAAATCCAAAGCATTGCTTTTGGATCAGAAATGGAGAAGTAAAAAGAAAAAAAAATGGGAAAAAAAGTTGTTTTACCACCAGAATTGTGTCAAAGATAGCACAGAGGTGAACTTATAACTAGGCAATACATGCAGGGAACCAACATATGTTCCAATGCATAAATTTGGGGAGTTGGCTTTAAATGGACCCAAAGATGTCAACATATTACCTGTGACTAAGTCAGCAGGCAGCTTCTCACAAGACAATAAGCCCAGGAGGGGGCATTGCATTATTTCCGACTCGTATGTCAGCAGGCAGGTTTATTACAGGGCAATAATATAGCATTTGCTTGTAATTTTAACAAACAGCAAGAGATATAGATGGACTTTTTACTAGACATGTGTTTTTTTCCAAATGAGATCTTGTCAGGGATTTCACTCGTACTAAAAATCTTCATTAATTTGTTAATTCATAGCACAGATTATTTTTACTGATTATGCATGATAGTGTTTAGAACAGACCTTGACTGGCTATGCAACTTGATGGTGATAAATCTCAGGAACTATTACTATTTATTTAGAAAGTGCCTGAAGGGAGTTACATTTTATCATACAGTATATTTATTATGTGGCAACTTCCTGTTTACTTCAAATCATTTCATCTTCAACATATGTTTAAGAAATTGTTACTACACATTGTATTTCATATACGATACTATTTTGGATTAAAAATAATTAATTTCTACTTTATCAAGAAATTTCTAGGCATAAATGCTAGCATTGGTATATCTCTGTATAACGTATAATGTTTAGTGCCAAATTGATATGCTCAATTTTTGCATAATGATGATTGTGACAAGAGCAGAAAATTGAGGATTTTTACTTTGTATATAAAAAAAAAGATGTATGGTAATGAATGGAAACGATGTAAATAATTTAAAGAGAGTGGTGATTTCTGAGTTTTAGCCTGTGTGTGGAAGGATGTTGTAATGGAGACAATTATACATACCACCAAGTGGTTCTATGTTGACTACAAGATAAAACGGATTGTTTTATTAGCTTTGCCAACCCCAAAACTCACTGTAGTGTTTATAAACTTATTTATCTTCACACAAATCCAATTTTTAATGTGTGCATACATAATAGTAGTAAGCTAAATCAAGTATTAAAATGACATCTCTGAGATATCGTTTTTAAGTAATTATACTGTGGGAGAGAGTACTATTAGATTCTTGATTTTGACCCTTTTCAAATCAAACATTGAGCTGTAGGGATTGTGGGATTTTTCTGCATATCTTTTGGATTACAGATAAAAAAAAAATTATGGTGCTGGAAAGTTGTATTGAATGAATTTGGGGTGTAATTTTTTTTTTAATTTAACTATCTAAGGACACTGGCTGATTATGTATGTTGTGACCTATCACAGAAGGTTAGACTGTCCCTCCAAATTTACACTGGAATAATCCATGCAATTGTAAAGACCAGTCCAATGTAATGTTGTGAGGGTTGACGGGTTGTGCTATGTATATTATTGTGCTTGTAGATCTATTTCATTACAAATCAGCAAATTACAGATACTTTCATGTTGTGCTAGACAAATACTACACACGGTTACAGATTCCAGTAGTCAGACTGTAATGGAAAGGTGGGTTTTTTAATGTTCTGGACAAACATTAGTTAATGCGAACTAGAGTCTTATCATGGACAAGTTATCACAAACAAATGTACAAGTGATACTATGTACAACACAAATATATACACTTCATAACATAGAATTTGTAAAATATTTTCACTCACCAAGGGGAGTAACTGGGAATAACTACATTAGAACTCTTTAACAGGAAATAATTATTTGTTTACATAAAGGTCCCATGATCATGTCAACTGCATTTCATATCTTAAAAGATTAATTTCACTTCACTTCGTATTATTTGTTTGTTTCCAATTTTTTTATTGATAGATATTGTTGACTTTTAACACTGCCCAGTGGAAAGCGCCTATGAGCGACCACAAGCTCATTTTTTTGTCCATAGAACCACTAAATCTATGTGTTCAGTTTTATTCAATATTTTTATTTGTTAAACTTGCTGATTTGTAAATCTGATCAATAGAATTTATATCTGGCAAAGTGAGTTTTGCCTCTAACAAAAATAATAAAAAAAATTTTGATATATGTTTGTATTTTGTGTTTTTCTTCAATTTCTGCCAATAAGAGGTTATTGGTATGGCGATCCATTATTGTCGTTCAACTATGGCAGTTCGTATTTCTCAGGAAGCTGAAAAACATACTGGTCTTTAATTAGGAACATTTTCTTCGGGTTGGTAATGTTTATAGCAAAGAGGTTCTTATAACACAACCAGTAGATGATTAGAGTGTAACGTTTCTATGACTACACGGTCATCTTCATCTTATAACACAACCAGTAGAAGATAAGAGGGTGACGTTTCTATGACTACATGGTCATCTTCATCTTATAACACAACCAGTAGATGATAAGAGTGTAACGTTTCTATGACTACACGGTCATCTTCATCTTATAACACAACCAGTAGAAGATAAGAGGGTGACGTTTCTATGACTACATGGTCATCTTCATCTTTTAACACAACCAGTAGATGATTAGAGTGTGGGGTTTCTATGACTACACGGTCACCTTATTCTTATAACAATCAGCAGAAGATTAGAGTGTGATTTTTCTATGACTACACGGTCACCTTCGTCTTTTAACACAACCAGTAGATGATTAGAGTGTGATGTTTCCATGACTACACGGTCACGTTCATCTTATAACACAACCAGAAGAAGATAAGATTTTGACGTTTCTATGACTACACGGTCATCTTCATCTTATAACACAACCAGTAGAAGATAAGAGGGTGACGTTTCTATGACTACATGGTCACCTTCATCTTTTAACACAACCAGTAGATGATTAGAGTGTGACGTTTCTATGACTACACGGTCACGTTCGTCTTATAACACAACCAGTAGAAGGTTACAATGTGACGTTTCTATGACTACACGGTCACCTTATTGTTCTTATAACAATCAGCAGAAGATTAGTGTGTGGTGTTTCTATGACTACACGGTCACCTTCATCTTTTAACACAACCAGTAGATGATAAGAGTGTGACGTTTCTATGACAACGCGGTCATCTTCATCTTATAACACAACCAGTAGAAGGTTACAGTATGACGTTTCTATGACTATACGGTCACCTTGATCTTTTAACACAACCAGTAGAAATTTTAAGTGTTACGTTTCGGTGACTACACGGTTACCTTCATCTTATAACACAACCAGTAGAAGGTTAGTGTTACGTTTTGATGAGAGCCGAAAAAGTTTACCGATTCTTTGCCATCTCGTACACTATGTAGTCTCTGCTAGTACACTAGATAGTCACTGGTGATCGTGTAGTCATCGAAAGTAAAAAAAACATTCAAGTTTGTCTAAACTTGTTGATAAAACAGTGAAAGGGGACATTGAGTGAGTTGTTCATTAGGTTGACGTTCTTCAAATACAGTATTGGTCTGGTCACAGCTGTCACCCACATGCGATGTGCAGTGGCATCACATAAGGTCACTTTGACCTTCATTTCAAAGTGAACAGTCAGATAAGTACAGCATCATCAAATTAGCAACAGAGACTTATGAACATATAAATACATCATAATCCTGTCTTTTTAACGGAGTTATTTTCTCGTAAGTACGATTTATCATTTAGTGAGACTGAGTAACTATAATGGGAGTACGAGCAATTATTTTGTGCGGACGAGTTATATAATTTTGCACGGGAAATTCATAGGGCGGACAGGTGTATATTGTTCTACCGTCAGGTTGTCTTGTTGGAGGAGTTATCGTCCTTTGGTGTGTTAAGCTTTCTCATCTTTTCCGGATATCTCTTCCGACAGTTTTAATTAATTTCTTTGAAACTTACTATGTTTCATTACGATGACATGTAACTCGTGTTTTTCCAGAATGGCGGTTTAAGTCTGTGCGTCCGCAGCAGAAACTTGTGTAAAGTATGTCATTAACTCCAAGGCAGATTTAGTTCATATTTACCAAGACGTACGTGTGTCCGTCCGTCCGCATCAGAAACATGTGTAAAATATGTCATTAAATCCACGGCAGATTTAAGATTTAGTTAGTATGCATACGCTTTAACATTTTCACAAAAGGATGACTTGAAAGGTCCTGCTGACATCGAGTGATTACACTTATAGAGCATTTTTGTGGTGTTGACTTTGTAATAGAACTTAAAACATTTACCACACACTAGCTGAACATTGGTTGGCCCAAGCTGACGCCCATAGCTACGGTAGATTTCGCGAACACTTACTGTAGCGAACTTATATCTTAAGACATATTCACGTATACATGATTTCGCGAACGCTGATATAGAAATTACATAAAACACGCGCATGGTGAGAGTGCGATATCAACATGGATGCCATGTCGTGGGGGGGGGGGGGGGGCTTGAATTCAAATTGTGCTCTCCTCGAAAAATTAACGCAAAAATAAATCCCACGCGTATATAACTGATACACAGTATTCAACAGCTGAGAGCATACATAAACTGAGAATCTCTAGGGGTTATAAATACAGAAACTAATCAAAGGACATGACGTTGTCATTTAAGAATGCATTCAACATAAGTAATATGTCTACAAGTGGATATATAGGCAAGCGTTTTCACAAACAAATACCAGTGTGTCAATCATTTCTGTTGTGAAAATTATGATAAAGGCAAATATGTTTGTAGCGACTTGCTGTAATCTTATTTATGTATAAGTTGAACTTATAACAAAATGCATAGTTAAATGCTGAAAGAAAATATGACATCTACCTCCACAGTGTACAAATGGTCGAACCATGTACGGTTAAGAATCCTACATGATATTCTGTCTGATGGGTCACACGAAAGAAATGGAATAAAGTTAGAGCTGTGCCAGCAGAATCCATGACAAAGAATTATTGTTAAGTGGAGAATTATTTCAAAAATGGAAAGGGACGTTCTCAAGTGGTAATAGAAATGCTCAAGTAGTCATGAAACTTTCCGCATATAAGTGGAACTATATCTATCTCGAAAAGGAAATTCTATCTAATTTTATCCACGAAGTGATAAGTAATACAAAAATAAGACTGGAACTGTATATTGAAAAGCTGCAAGAGATTAATTGATTTCACTAGCCATATTTCTATAGAATATTGATGAATTCTTTCACCGTTATCTTTTCATGTCATATAAGACCTATATAGCTTTCAATAAGGCCACGTGCACTCATCAAAACCCAAGGTCTCTTCCTCAATTTAAAGACTTAAAACACTCACATTATCATAATACTCTGTTAACAGACAGTTACGTCCACGTGAACAACTGAATAAAACCTATCATGAGAGTGTAATACCTTATTTGCTTTGTGTGTTTGTTCAGCTGGGTTCACCGGCCTCAAAACAGCCGGGTCATATTTAGTTGGAGTCACCTCAAATTAAGTAGCTACCTAATTGAGAAATATGTCTGGGGCTCATGCATTTAGACCAAAATTAAATAATGTATACGATAAACTAAAACTTTGATTGTCACAGAAAATTCATATCATTCTATAATACCACGGTGTCTCAGGACAACGTTGAACTAAAAGGAAGGAACATGCATCCTTAATGAAATTTTGACCTGTCGTGGCCCTTACCCTCGGCACGCTGTTTACAAGTTTTATGTGAGGCAGCACGTGTTTTGTGACCTCGGTTTAAACTCTCACCATATGTGTACATTTAGCCAATGACAGGTAGCGTTACATGCTTGTTACGGAGTGTAAACCTTGCCACGTATTATTTTGTGTATAACGACAGATTAACTCTCAGGATGAGCGAGGAAGACGAGAAATACTTTAAAGACGAATACGACAAATACGACGTTGACCAGGATAAGGTCGTGCATTCCAGTCACAGCGGTAAGGGTCGGACAAAGAAGGAGGTTGACCAGCATCATCACACCGACCCCAGTGGACACACGCGGAAAAATGTCCAGAAGCTCGTTAATAATGCACACAACCAACGAGATCCTCCGAAACAGTAATACTTAGGGTGAGTAGTCAGGGGTTAACATACCTGTAAAACAGGTTAAACAAACGTGATTCAGCGGTATGGAGACATTTCTACAGTAACAGGTGTAATGACATATTGATCTCATGTATGTAATGTACACATGTCATTGTTTTAATCATGTTTTATATGTATAGGTAAGTTATGTAAGGAAGAAGGTTATGATATAATGTAATAATATAAAGAATATGTTGTTTACAACCCCAGTTATGTTAGCTTTTCCATGTACCCAATCCTTTGGTTTGTTATTTAGTATTGTGTTTTAAGTCCAGGGCACAACATTTGGCAAATTCTCCCAGAATAAACTGTGCATAATACCGTAACGCATTTAGGGAAGGACATTTTTGACATCGACGCTTCAGCATTAAATAATTGTTGCATGTTACCATGTTGTTGTGAGTGCGCGGATGTGTACGGTTGAAAAAGCAAAAACACCACCTCCAATAGAAAACCCCGCAAAAAATAGGTAATAGATGTTAAGAACCAATCATTGTATGTTTCAGATGCGTCCAGGTGAACTGACATACCGGAACAAACAGAGGATTAATGGACAAGGATGTCGGATTTCGTGCAAAAGCTGATTGACAGTCTCTTTAAGGTGATTGGTATGTCACGTGAAACATTAATTTACCAATAAAAGTTTGCTGATATTCTTCATCAAGGTGGAAGACTGTTAATCACGTGAACTAAATTGTTAATGTGAGGCTGTCCATGCCGGACGAGAAGCTGGAGAGATCTCTGGGATCGTCACAAAATGAAAAAAAAATATTGTACTTACATTGTTGTTAAAAAGTTTTCTTTGTTGATAAGTGTGTTTTGTTTTTACTCGAGTCATCAGATAGAAATTTCATGAGAAGCCAAAATGCGAAATGGAATCATTTTTCCGTTGTCCATTTTAATGAATTGATCCAAGGAAAGATTTGCTGAGACTTGTCAGATAAAGGTGTAGGTCGAGTAACTTAATTTGCTCATAAGTGATCACATTTTACTATCGTCTGGAGAGTTCTTAATCCCTCTCCGCCATTTTGTCTTTGTCCGAGTCATGTAGATACTTGACTCTCCACGATTTCACGATTGTCTTGATCTCAGTGTTACTTGACTGTCCACGACTTAAAAATTTGTCGTGACCATGACCAAAAAATAATAACAAAGATAAAATGTAAGGTCTGATCCCTAGGGCTAATTTGACCCGTACACACGTGGTACAGAAGGAACAGTCGTGATGGTGCCGTTTAACCTTTTACTCCACGCAAGTGATATTACTAAAACGATATAGTGGCAGCAATGGAAAAGGTGATCCCACAAAATTATTTGGACATACCACTAATTCATTACAATGACATTTCTTTCTTTCTTTGGTTCGGCGATATCGCCATAATAGTCACCGAAACGCTTGTATAGATTACTTGATAAAGGCAGTTTTATTGTGGTAATATCTCCAATTCATCATTGAGTTGAAAGTTTCATGACTGTTTTTTTGGACGTACTGTGTAGGGCTTGAGATAGAAGTAACAGTTAAACATACTGCTGTGTTAGATGTTGTCACTGAAAATAACGTCATTTGACGTTTTAACTCGGACTACGCGATTCTGGTGTCGGATAACTGTATTGTGATGATAAAGATAAACTGGAAATCAAACACCTTTAACACTATCTTTTATAACCTTTCGAAGAAAAATGATTTATTCACAACTTCCAAGTATATTCCAAGATGGCCGATATCACCACTGTCACATTTCCGCGCCCCTTATTGTGAGCTAACTACAGCTCTGGGAAGATATCACACTGACTTCCAATTGGTCGAAAACTAAGTACATTTACTTTAGAAAAGTCGAAAATCCTCCTATACATTTTTGGAGCAGAAATGAGACTTGAGGTGGTATTCGGCATCAATGATAGTGTAAATACTGTAGCCATTTTTTAAAATTAGGACATAGTGTGATTGAGTAGGAACCTATCTGCTCGGATAATTTAACAATTTCTAGCACCCCCCAGTAATAAATGTTAATAACTATATGAAACCGAGTGAACCTATCTGCTCGGATAATTTAACAATTTCTAGCACCCCCAGTAATAAATGTTAATAACTATATGAAACCGAGTGAACCTATCTGCTCGGATAATTTAACAATTTCTAGCACCCCCAGTAATAAATGTTAATAACTGTATGAAACCGAGTGAACCTATCTGCTCGGATAATTTAACAATTTCTAGCACCCCCAGTAATAAATGTTAATAACTATATGAAACCGAGTGTTCAACGATTTGATTGGTTGATTTTCTCGTTCCTTTTTCTTGATTCAAAAGAGCTTCATTCAGTAAGTCAGTATAGGAATGACGGGACGTAATTCCTCAGACTTCTCATTATTATAAACTTTGATTTACATAATCGTTAGCGTAAAAGGAAACCCACTTTGACGGGTAGGTGTTTCCGTTACTTCCGTTGGATCCGGGAATCGCACCGCGATCGTCGAGGTGAAAGACCAGTAAGTAGTACTGCACATCTCCAACACTTCCGGATTCTAGATCATGTACAAAAAGTTCTGACAGCAATGAATACGTTCATCCTGCCAATCTCTCAAAATACTAGTCGCTTCCTACAAACTCCAGCCCTGATCAGTTCACTTCAAATGGAACACAGTTTTTATTACGTGTGAAGTCTAAAGAACCTCTATGGCGGTCCGAAAGCTTACTTCTAACTAACGTGTAGCCATTGGAATAAAATCGAGAATACACAGTATATATTTTGTATCATGCCAACTGTACAGCGTGTTCAGTGAAACCTTTAACAACAGCTATTGTTTTCTCCACGTTTCACTTCATATACCACATAGAATGTACGTTAACTATTTTTCAAAACTGCGTCTTTTCTTGTAACCCAACACACATCGGATAACGGTTTTCACATTGTACTTTCAGTTCACATTCACAATATGTAAATGTTCTGACCTATGACACGTTGGCGTCTGTGATATCATTTAACTTATATTTTTATTCAGTGTTTTTCAAAACGCAAACATGACAAAATTATAACATATTCCACAGCACACTCCTCCACAGATCTAAATAAAGACATCTGTAATTTATTTACCAGACATCTGTATAAAACCGCTCGTATTAAAAATTTTACACATATCATACATTCCTAATTCACGTGTTCAAATACCTTAGTATGATACCTAAGATTCCAATCGATCCAAGATGTCCGTTTAGAACACTGGAATAAAACTAGTCATAAAAGTCATTTGTTGTGCGTGTTTTTAAGAAAGGAAATGGAGATGGACAGACTATTACAAAGACAGACAAACACAAACAAAAACAAATAGCAGACACGTGCACAGGGGTAAGAAATGTCAGAGTAAGACGTACAGACAGAAAAACAATTGACACAGGAACAAGTGTCGACGGATTAAAGAGAGGTAGGCCTTCCAAAACTCCAAAAGTATCAAATTAGACAATTGCTTTATTAAAAAACATTTGCTCTGAATCAACTAACAGAGTTCCGAAGATATCAATAGATAAAAACGGCATGGCGTCTCGATATTAAGACAACGCTGTTGAGATCATTGTTATAGCATGGGCACGGTATCAGTGTCATCACAGTGTATCGTCACTGGACACGTGTAACAGTGTATCGTCACTGGACACGTGTGACAGTGTATCGTCACTGGACACATTTTTATATATTGTATCGTCACTGGACCCAGTGTATCATCGCTTGACGCATTGTTATCACAGCGTATTGACGCTGGGCGCAGTGTTACCACAGTGTATTGACGCTGGGCGCAGTGTTATCACAGTGTACCGTTTCTGGAGGCAGTGATATCACAATGTATCGACGCTGGGCGCAGTGTTATCACATTGTACTGTCGCTGGGCGCAGTGTTATCACATTGTACCATCGCCGGACGCAGTGTTATCACAATGTATCAACACTGGGCGCAGTATCACAATATTTCGTGCTGGCGACCATAAAAAAGCAACCCCACGATCTTTATCGAAACTCGCGACATTGAGAAAACATGTAAACACCTTAGGGTGCTGACACAAGGTGTATACTATCAAGAAGTGGAAAATTCACAACACAGACAGTAGCCAGAGATTACTGACATGTCAGCCTGTCATTATTGATAAGAAAAACATCGAGATATTCAAGTTAATCCGTGATATAGTTATCTAGCTAGATTTCTAGCTTTTGTAAATTGAATCAATCTCTCGCTTTGATGACACTTTGTTTTTCAACTGAATTGAATGAGCTACACTTCTTATGAATAGATGATATAAATTTGGCACTGTCCGAAAGGAATCGGTGATTTTCCGTTCCGCTCTCAACTTTGTCGCCCGGAATAGGTTTACAAAGAATGGAAATACATATGATTGATTCCATTTGGATACATTCCATTACTTCTAATTAGATTCAAAGTGTTGACAACTTCAGACGTATATTAAATCTTCGGAAGTTACAGTAACATGGAAACATCAAATGAATCGCGGAAAAACAGGTGTTCACGCTGGCATATCTTAGGCTTGGTTATCTCCCTTTATATTCCCGTATAGAATGGCACATTATGGTATTTTGAAACCAATCCCGATAAATCTAAAGTTCAAATCATGATTATTATTTCTTTATTTCCTCCAAAATGAAGATTCATAAAGGTCGTATGTACAATTTATTAACGCAAATTAAGTTGATTAAAATAACATCGTAAATTCATAAATACATGCATATGTAATCGTTACGTACAAGTATCAATTGACAAGGTTAGTATACTTGCACTTTGTATAGCATGACATTATAGACGTTCATTATAACATGCATTTTATCCAAGTAACGTATTGTCTGTAGTACAATCTGAGCATTTTATTGGTGAAAATTGAACAGTGTAAAACAAACATTTCGTAATCATTTTGGTCCATTCTGAAGACAGGAGTACCTCCAAGCACTATATGAATAAGATCAAAGTCAGATTAAATTCATTATCAAACAATGAGATAAAAAGGCACCAGAGGTCATCCCTAAGACTTTAAGGCTTGGTTATCTCATTTTATAGGCTGATACATAATGCTATTATGAATATAATCCCGATAAATCTAAAGTTCAAATCATGACGTATTCAACGTATGTTAGCGTCTATCAATTTAAAGGTAGTATGTGGACATATCACAACACGTGCTATTATTAATCACTCACACTCTCAGGACAGCTTTTTGATTTACCGTGAGATGCCTCATGTATAATGATGTACATTTTTAAAATGATTATTATTCTTTGCATAAACATAAATTGAAATTTTAATATTGTATCCGTTATGATTACACATAAATGATATTATTGATATTTGCTTCAGCATGTCAATATTTCAGCAGGATCTGTGACAAAATATACATCCCCGGTGGGATTCGAACCCACGACCTCCGGATTAGAAGTCCGGCGCGCTATCCACTGCGCTACGGGGACTATGCATTCCTCTTAGATGGGGTGAGCATCCTTAATGATCTGATTAAGTTTGAAAAATATTTTTTATTTGAATTGTTAATTATTTATATTTAATTCTAATAGAATCTGATTTCAGTATTGATATTATGTAACTGTGTCAAATTATGTCACTTTCGTATAGTTTGTGTTCCATTTGTATAAGTTTTCTTTCCATAAAAAAAATTATTGATAGATCATTAAACATCGGTGAAATTTTGTTCTAGTATCATTTGTTTTATTTAAGTTTTGGAAGTTTTTATGAATTCTCCCTCCATTTGTCTTGTAAGTTTTTATAACATTAACACAGTATTACGATAGTCTTTACATTTTCTTC